CTTTCAGTACTCTCTCGCTCAACCCAAGAGTATATCGTAAGATCGTTTATACGAAAAGGACGCGCGAAATCGAATCGATATACACCCTTATATATATATTATATATATATTATTAATTTATATATAATTATTATATATAATTATTATATATAATATAATTTATAATTATATATATAATATATATAAATTAGGAAATTTACGTTTCCATATCGCAAGATCGTTTATATGAAAAGGGCGCGCGAAATCGAATCGATATATATCCTTATATATATTATATATATATTATTAATTTATATATATTATAATTATATATAATATATATATTATATATGAATTAGGAAGTTTACGTTTTCATACGTTTTCATATCGTAAGATCGTTTATATGAAAAAGGCGCGCGAAATCGAATTGATATATGCTCTTATAATCGCTATATATACATACATACATATATATATATATATGAATTAGGAAATTTACGTTTCCATATCGTAAGATCGTTTATACGAAAAGGACGCGCGAAATCGAATATACTCTTATAATCGTTTTATATATATATGAATTAGGAAGTTTACGTTTCCATATAGGATCCAATGAAAGTCGTTCTTTTTTTCCTTCCATTCGATGCCCCTTGAACGATTGAGGGAGATCCGGTTCTTACGATGCGCGAGAGAAGGAGAATATCGGTAAACGTAGAAAACTAGTCCGCGAAACTGACCGGTGTAGTTGCACCGGTTACGCCTGGGAACCGGATAAATTATTTATGAAACGCCAAGATTCGAGACACCTCCCTCCTTGCGACCAACCATTCCATCCCGACGCGTGCCACTTTCCTTTTCCTTTCCTTCCCGTTCCTTTATCCTTATTATGTTTATGTTTAGATGAGGAGAAGGAAGATACGATTTCCGGAAATTATTGTTAATTATACAAATAAACAATATTCTCTCTTCGCAATATTCGTAAATCGATGCTCGTATTTATTAGCTTGCGTTACTCGCGGAAGTAAATATTGCGCGCACGAGCAACGTGGGTCGATCCCTCGGGGGATCTGAAAGGTGAAGTCGTCAGCTTCGAGTCTGGAGGGGAGGGGAGGCTGGAAAAACGAGGCGCGCCGCTTCCGCTCGAGCAACATACCCCGTCGAATCGCGATCGCCCGATGTCTCAATTCATGGAAACATTACACCGCGAATTATCGTGGAACGAGGAAAGATTGTCGCGCCATTATCTGTCTCCAAGTTTGTCTTTTTAAACGCGCGCGTGCGCTTTTTCAAACGATAGCCCATCATCATCATCACTTTCCCGCGAGAAGTCTCCGTATGTATATATATATATGTATATATATATTATATGCACGTCTTGGGAAGATATAAGAGTTTCATTGAGGTTGAGACGTTAAAACCAAGATGGAGTTACGTACGAAGGATTGTAAAAGGATAATTACATTGCCGGGAGTATAGGTTGTCAAATGAGCCATCTCTTCCTTTTCATCGTTTATTCCAACTTTGCAAATATTTTCCGGGATATATATATATATATATATATATATATATATCTCCT